TATGTAGTTAACTGTGTTGTTGTTCAGCAGCCTGCCATGCTCTGCTGACCTTGGGACTTTCAGTGGACTTGAATTAATGGCCTGCTGTGTGGTTTGGTAACATCAGGACTGTGCCTTTTTACTTGTCAACCTTAGGCTTGTCAGTCTCAGCAGCCAACAGCTGTCTGAGTGAAGAAACGCCTCTAGCTACAGGAGCTCGGGAGCTGGAGGCAGAGCTGAAGCCCAAGGTAGAGGGGCTTTCACCTAGCCCCTAGAGCCTGGCACTTTGAACTTAGACTTAAAGCCTCCAAACTGTTAGAGAATAAACTCCTGTTTGTTTAAGCCATCCCATTGGTGGTATATTCTTGTCACAGCGGCACTAGGTAATCAGAACACTCATGTTTTAAATGTTGCATTTCCCAGGATTCTGTTCTCAGGTTTATTTTTCTTCACATTTTTTAGTCTTTCACTTGACAATCTTCCATGTATGTTTATGGTTCCATATACTTTCCATAAACTAATCATTGCCCAATCTATATCTGGAGCTCAGCCTTTTCATCTTTACACAACACCTAGAATTACATTTATCTACTGAATTTACTGTGCTATAACTCAACATTCTAATATCCCTTAAAATCTGTACAACCTACTATATTTTCTTATGTTATGTTACAACTTTTCACCTAATTGTTACAATTTCTAGTTAAAAAAAAAAAATATATATATATATATACACATACATGTCTTTAGTACTGCTCAGATTTATTTTTTTCTATCCTTATTATAATACTTTTAGTTCAAACCATTATTTTCTTTCCAGAGTTGTTATAACTGTTCTCAGAGGGACCTTTCTGCTTCCAGAATTGATCTCTCTGAAGTCTGTTTCCTCATTGCCACCACAGTGATGTTCTAAAATGGAGTATATAAGTTTGTTGTTCCTTATCCTAAAATTGTTTAAAGGCTTCTCATTCCCAGAAGTAGTTTTCAATGGCCTACCCATAGACTAGCAGCTTTGGATCATTTAGAAAACATTTGAAAGGCTAATATCTTGTGTCTTCCCCCACAGATTCTGAATAAATATAGAGCTGATAAATCTTTTAAAAGTTTCCCAGATGATGCTGATAAAGCAGCCAGGTTTGGAAAATGCCTATACACGTGGTTTAAGTTCCGTATCAAGGAATTCAGGCCCTTCATGATCTTGTGCCTGCATTCTTTTCCAGTACCATCTCACTCTGTTCTCCTTCCCTTCATTCTTGGGCTTTCAACTGGTTTATTCATTTTTGACCCCCTGCTGAGAATTTGCAGGAGCTCTGGTGGCATAGCATAAGGCATTTGACTGCTAAGGAGAAGGCTGGCAGTTCAAACCCAACAGCCACTCCTCAGAAGGAAGATTGGGCAATCTACTTGCATAGAGATACTGCCTCGAAACCCAAGGAGGGGTCACTATGAGTTGCAATCGACTTGATGGCAGTGAGTTTTTTGTTTTCCTGAGATTTTTCATTTCAGCCCCAGATATACTGAATTGTAATCTAC